TTCGCGGAGGTAGTGTAAAAGATTTGTTCAACCTATTTTAGAGATCCGGGTGTTTAAAAATTGGCGCCGTAGGATGACTGGAAGAAGTTGTAAAAGTACCGGCCGTCCAGGGGCGATCATTTCTGCACTTGTGCAAAATGAGTTGCGACCGTTAGCATGATCGCCAGAAAGTTGTCAAGGGGTACAGAATGATTTGCAGGGTGCGTTAGTAAGGAAGGAAGCATGGCTCCCTGGGAGGAGAGCTAGCACAGAGGCACCCTGTTCTCTCGAAAGAGGTCTCCCGCTTGTTTTTCTCTGGCGTCCACTCATCATGAAGTGAGGAGTATTGGCGGGGCTCCTTGACCTCCTCCATGCACAAGTTACCGTCAGTTGCAAACCAGCAGCTCAACTCCACGTGCTGGGTCTTGTTTTGGGTGGAGGTCCAGAAGCTTGAAGGTCTCTAAGGCCTAGCGCAGGGGCCAAGGGGAAATTGACGGCTGCAACACCCCGAGCCATTTTTGCACCCTTGGGTTAAGTGCTGAGCCGGGGGCGGCCAAAAGTAGAGGGAGAGGCAAACAGCGCAGCAAGTCTTCATCTGCAGGAGGCCTGACATCTTGGGCCCAAACTCAAAGAAGAGCAGCGCTCCTCTCAGAACCACTCCCAGTTACAAAGGGATGGTGCAAACTTACTTCCTACTTGTAGCATTGTGACCTTCAGCATGCCTTCCGTTCAAAAACTTTGCTGTGGCATCAGAGATGCGCGGAGCATTGCTTCGCCCAGCGCCTTCCCATCTCAACTGAAGATACGCAACTGTAGACGTTGATGCAGTGTCCTTCCATACCTCTTTGTCAGCCACGGTTAGAGCGGCTGCCACGTAAGCTTTTCGATTAGATGCGCTGTACAGATCGTGCCAACATCTACGTCAACAACAACGACTACAACCACTACGACCACAACAACAACCACAACTGAAACAACGACCACAATAACAACCACAACCATCACCACCACGACGGTCACAACCACAAGCACATCAACAACAACAAGCACGACAACCACCACAACGACAACTAGCACGTCAACAAGCACCACAACAAGCACAAGCACCTCCACCACAACGACCACAACCACAACAACAAGCACCAGCACAACCACCAGTACCACCACTACCACCACTACCACGACAACCACGACTACAACCACAACCACTACAACGACCACTACGACTACGACGCCGTGGATCTCTGGCATATCGCCATCCTGTATCACGGTCAACAAGGCGAGCAGCTCACAACCAAATCCTTTTCGTCGCGCAGACTCGCACAGCACCACAGTTTGCAGGCCACGGAAATCACATTTTATGGAGGAGATGCGGGTGACAAGGCACGCAGTTGCATAGTCGTACTTCCGTTGGTATTTGCACACGGGGGCAGCCTTGAACGTCACGTGCAAAGATTTACCAGCAGGTCAGATTTGAAGTGGACTGTGACACGGTATCCGACGATAACTTCACAACATTGTGCCTCGTTGGCAACCCGACATCTCAAGCCGGCTAGATGAGACTTGTGAGGCTTAGCCTATTAACAACATGCCACCACCTCTGCCAGGAAGGAAGGAGCAGAGGGTGCCACAGCTGAGTTCTCCCCGCAGGAGAAGGCAGATGCCCCGCACTAGGTTGCAAGACTACAACTTTAACATACTTAAACCATGCTTGACTTGGTTGCAAGCTTTGCAGAGTGTAGCAGACTGTGCCAGGGTGAAGGCTTCCTTTTGTGCTACAAGCGTGGCCACGAAGAGGTTCATGGTGAACATCATTTAACGCTTGTCTCTTGATTGCGTCAGGAAGAGTCACGATAGTCATGGAACATGCGTGAAAGATGACAGTTGCCACACATCTATGCAAGATGTGGGGTTACATCTTCAAAGTCAAGTGATGGGCTGCTGTTGTATCTGTTGTATGTGGGCAGTGAGGAAGAAGTAGCTATGGCTTGGATTCTGTGAAAAATGCCTTCAAACATGTCGATTCTACTCAGTGCTGCACATTCATGGCCAGCATATTGATGAGTGGTCCGAGAGCTTCAACGCCAGTAAACTTCAGCCTGGTGTTGCTCATGCTGCATCATCGGAGCGTGGCTAGAGTCGAACAGCCAGTAAACAGGAGATATCAGGAAACTGTTCAGGCGGAGACCCTTTAAGCTGTCTGAGGCACTGCAGGCAACATATGTAACGTGCAGTAAGCGCCAAGGATGTGAAAGGTCCTACTGGTGCCAGCCATATCTCTTCCATCAGCCGGCAACTCAGTCAGCTCTGTAGAGATATGGAGATCGGGTAAAGCAGAGGAAAGCAGGTTCTACTTCCAGTTTTCATCAGCTCTCCTAAGATTTCGGCATGAGGTCCGACGCTGGTGAAGCGAGCTGAAGCAGCAGAGCTGCGGCTGGAAGGCCCTGAGAAGACCAAGGGTAGGGATGCTTGGCCACAAACCGAGAGTTCCAGTTGCAGGTCTGTAATCAGGCTTTTCCCTCAGGCCGCCATCGCTCCTAGCTTTCGCTCGTAGAGCTCTTCAGGGACACTGCTTGCCAGAATGGCTGTAACCAAGAAACGGCATGACAGAAGCTAAGCAACAATTTAAATCTTCATGGCGACCAGCCTTGCAGGTTTCTGTGTGGTCTTTTCGTAGGCAGGGCAATTAAAAAATACACGGCCTAGGGCTTTATCGTGTCCTTGGCAAGACCAACCGAACGTTTCTTCAGGCATGCGAGTACCATGTGGTATGTCTTGAACTCTAGCGTGATTGCTTTGCTCTCATATGATTTATTTATTCATGTTTGGATCCATCCATAGGCATGGCTATTCCGAGAGCCAGTCACTTGCGGAAACTGTGTCAGACTGCATTGACATGTTGACAGTTTGTGATCTCCATAGTTCGTGTTGTGTCCGAGGTGTGTTTTGCTCCCAGCTGCGCCTTGTGCCCTCAGCTTTATGAAGCTTGCATGCATTTTTGATCGTCGAGCATCCACATTCTTTTGAAAGTTCTGCGCACGACTTGCAGATAGTAGAGAATGCACAAAACGTCCACGTTGGCCACCAAGCTTCATTGTGTAGCTACAATGCCCCTTACAGCACCTTATCTTACCCGGGGCAATGACAGCCGGGCCTGAGTACCCTGTGGTCATATGCCGTACTGAAGTTTTGTTGCAGGACAGCGCAGATTATCCTGCTGTTGAGATTCCTGGGACGGTGAGCCTCTTGAAAGAGGCGGATGGGTTCATCTCTATTGGATGGGGTGGTTCCTGTAAACAACCTACAGCTCAGATACTGGCGTAAAACATTGCCACTCAATCCAACGTTGAGGCAAATAAGCTGCATATTGTCGCACCGCAGAATGCATCTCGGCATGCCTACGGTCGTCGCAAATGAGATCTTGTAGAAGTTCAAACGATGAACCAGGCACTAGTGTGCCGTGCGTGCCCTGACCACCTCAGGACAGCAATATCTACAAGGTGTGCTATCAAGAAGACTTCAGCTGTGCCATGTGCTTACAATCGATTCATCTGCAGCAATCTAAAAGCACTTAGTGACGTGATGGCTTCAAGGAGTGGGTTCAACAGAGTGGTCTCAAGATCCGCTTCGATCCTCACATCATTAGCATAGACCAGACCTGCATTGGAGCGAAACTCGGCCAAAAGCAAGTCCAATCTGCTCCGAGGCAGTGGAAAGTAGATCTGTGGAATGCATGCCAAGGAACAGAGACGCCACGATTGGCTTCGAGGGCGCCTGGCCAGGTGATCGGGTGCAGTTTGCCCGTGGCTGTGATGGCATCACAGAGCCAAAGGTTCCCGGGCGTTCGTTTGGAGTGATCTCCATCGATTTCTATGTGATGTGCAGCATACTTTTGCAACCTTAGGAAGAATTCTTCAGCGAGAAGAAGCGAGCTTTGTGGTATGCAGGCCATGTGGGACACGTGGAGGACCTGTGGTTTCTGTTGGATGCTAAGCACATCTGTTGGACAGGTGAAGCTCTTGAGGGTCTCAAGCTCTGCTACAAGCCGGATACTTCAGATGCAGTCTCTCGGACTGTCGAGCATTGCTGTATCAGAATCAGTTTGCAAGATCGTGCAAGGACCGAAAAGATGCAAAGTGGAACTGATCCAAAAAGTTAGCCAGCCGCATATACAATGTCGCAACAGTCAGAAGTTGTTCCGACAATGTTGAAAGGTTTAAAACTCAGCTGATCACGCGAGGCATTAAGAAGTTTCCGAAATTTGGCTTGGGTCGTGAAATCACGAAAGCTTGAGAAGATCCTGAAAAATCGCAAAATCGTCAGGAAAAGTCAGGAAAAGTCAGGAAAGGCGTTGCTGTAAAATGCATGAGAAGCTCAAAAGCACGTGGCCGGTCACAAGCAGCTGAATCGCGGGAGATGCGGGAGGCTCCATAGCAGCTGATATGCTTGCACAGTGTCTTTTCGGTGGTGGCTTGCAAAAGCATGTTTTGAACGTGTTTTATTGATGGAATTCACAGGTCTGGCATACTACTCGAGTCAAATGGAGCATCGATCGGTAGACCAAAATGCCGAAGGCCTATGTATAGAGCAACCACACACACTGACTCAAGACCTTCGCAGCTTCGCGGCCTCGACTTTGATTCTTTGCCCTGCCTGGACTCTTGCCGGCCTTGGGGCACTTTTCCCAACCCACCCACACGGGGCGGAAGGGTGCTAACAGTTAACACATCACGTGAGTAGAGCGTTGTACCAAAGCCTTTCTTCAGGAGGATAGGTTGTAGGTCTCGCTTCTGAGCGAGCTGAGGGTCCATCCTCTAGTCTAGGGAATTGGACTTGGGGTCCGCACGCTCTAAAGTAGCCTTGAGGAAGGCTACCTCACAAGCTCCAGGATCTGCTTGTTGGGAATCCAATATCACAAAGCGCACAGAATATCAGGAACGGGAAGGCGAGCTGTGTTGATCTCAAAGCCCTTGCAGCGAAATCATTGAATGGAAAAACTAGGATGATGAGAGAGGAAAATCCAAGACAGTCGGAGGAGGTCAGTCAGAGCTGAAAACCCGAGGCCCTAGCAGGCACCTGTGTAAACGTCATCCCTCTTCTCACCTTGCGATGTGCGAGGAACACAGAAATACAGACTCTCAACGCCACCCGAATCCAATCCTCAATTCCCGGGTCCCGCTATTTCATGTCTTCGCAAAAGCATGTTTGCTAGGGGGAAAAGAATGCCCTTCGTACTACTACTTCAGACACGCGAAAGGCTCGAAAAAAACAGTGCCAAAACTCCAGCTTGCACTGGAAGCTTTAAAACCAGAAGTCAAAAAAGGTCCACAAAGTTTCTGGAAAGCCTCCGATCCGAAAGGTTGAGAAGCAGGTTTGTTTTGCGGCAACTTGCCGTTGGCTTGTTTGACCTTCTCCACAGCGTTCAAGAGCATGCACCATGCAAAAAACAAAACACCTCAACAAGATTCAGGTGTTCAGGGAGATGGAGGGTTGACGGCACGGTTTCGTGCCAGAGTCTCCATCGTAACACATTGCCAGGCAGTACACTTCCGACACATCACGCACAACTCCCGTCGCCAGACTAGACCCACCAAGAGCCCTGCAAAACCCTGCCTCGAAGCCATGAAACCGTTCAAGTGATAAAAGCTCGCGTACCTGACCCGCTAATCACTGCCCCAAAATGATTACAGGGGGGAAGGGTCCTAATGATTCGAATTTTCCCTAATTCTTTTTTGTGAAGAATGATTACGGAGGTGGTTTCTACCCTTGAATGGGGGGTTCAACGATACTTTACCGTGAGGTTAAGCATAAATGATTACAGGGGGGTTTGGGGTTGGATGATGAGGGATGTCCATCGCTACTTTACCCGAAGGAAAAGTATAATTGATTACGGGGGTGAGTTTGGGGCTTAAGATGAAAAATATCTGGGTCATCAAACAACCATCTGTCAGCAGCATTTGTTTGCCGATGGAAGAAATAATTTCTGGCTTTTTTTGGTCCACATTTAGTAGACGTTGTCTTGAGCAGATTCGTGTTTTTATTTGGGCATCGCCTGAAAACCCCATGAAGGCTTTATATAAAATGACCACGGATGGCTTAAAAGACCTTCCGCG